CCCCCCCCAAAAAAAAAAAAAAATTGAAGTCGGGGACCATCTCTACAACCACGATCATTAAAGCCTAAAAACCCCATGATACAACACCATCTTATCAAAACAGCAGAACATTATACCCTGTGAAACCCAATATAATCCAATATAATGTAGGAACCTGATTAAGNNCAGGGTATCTTAATCAGGTTCCTACATTACCCCTCCCAAGAAGATCCTAAAATGGTCTTCAAGGAGCTCTTGGAAATTCGCACGGGAGCAGCGCAGCATGGCCGAAGCCCGGCCACACCAGGCGTGGCCGCACTGGCCTTTGCCGGCAAACGGTATAGGGCTTCAGTAGAGAGGCCGTGATATTCGAAGAAGGGGTTAGGAGGGTTTCTACAGCATAAGGTACGATATCCATGCCTTCTAAAAACTAACTAACACAGAACCCGTTTTGTGAACGGACGATAATACAGTGGCCGCAACAATGAAAGCTTGTGCTTTGTAGTAAAATTGTTGGATGAAACCCACGGACGGAGTGCTATAGCTAAGACGGGTGAGGAGGCTCGGGGTTTCGAGGTTGTAAGCTCCAGTTTTTTAGTAGTTCAGCCTCGGGGCTCGTTGGGGCACGAACCTGAAAGGCTTCGAAGTGAAGGTTCAGGACTTGTAGGCTTTGAGGCTCAGGAATTGCAGGGTTTAAGGTTCAGGGTTTGTGGTGTTGAGGGTAGGGGTTTAGGGTTTAAGGTTCAGGGTTTGTAGGGCTTAGGGTAGGGATTTATGGTTTAGGTTTTTGAGGCTAAGAGGATCTAGCGCTTCTCGGAAGTTCGGGTCAAGGAAACAACAGAGATTATGCCGGTTAAGAGGGACGCGGGCTTTCATTCGCAACCCCCTAAACCCTAAACCCTGAACCCACAAACCCACCCCTCAACCCTAAGCCCTGCATCATATAAACCCAGACAAGTTGCAGCATTCGACGCCACGGCCATCACCGCCATCTTCGAAGGCAGCGCGTCCATAGCTTACGGATTGTGCGACTTGGGGCTTCAGGGCTTAGGGTTTGGGGCTTGTGTTTTTGTCGTTTGGGCTTCCGCCTTCCCAGGTTTCGGGAATTTTGGGTTTCGGGCGCGCGCTTTAGGGTTTTAGGGTGCGGTGTTTAGGATGTAGGGGTTAAGTGTCTAGGGCCCAGAGGGATCATCTTTCGGCGTCGTGCTTTAGGACTTTTCGGTTGTATACGGCTTTCTTGGCAAGGACTACATAATGTAAGGGCATTAATAATTAGAATAGGATTTTGGGGGGTTCCTTATTATGATTATAGTATAATGTACCCCCAAACCCTATTCTATTATTGAGGCCCATATCATCGAAGCCGGAGGCCTTTTTCTTCGGCATAAGGCATAGACCTTGGTTTGAGGAAGCTGAACTTAGGGTTTAGGGTTTAGGGATCTAGCCCCCTCAGCCCTACGGCCCTTGAAGACTTGTAAAGTTGCCATTGCGATTGAACCGCTTCAGCTGCAATAGCAGGCGACATGTGAAGTCAATCCCTTGAAGTTCTTGGCATTGGGTCGGCCCCGGCGCCTCTGTCATGACCTAGGCTCGTCGTTCCGGGATTCAGGGTTTAGGATTTGGGTTGCCGAAAAGATTTGGAAAGCAAGGCCTGTCTCTGCATTGACGATGGGCTGCTGGAGAGCGGCACTTTGGCAAAGGAGGCTTTATGCTGCTCAACACGGCCGCCGCAAATCATGAAAGAGACTGCAATCCCAAGGCCCCTCCGCAGACGTGCCCGTAACACACGTCCAGAAGCCCCTTTGCGCCCTAAACCCTAAACCCAAACCCTCAGCCCTAAACCCTAAACCCTAAGCCCTAAACCCTAAACCCTAAGCCCTAAACCCTAAACCCTAAGCCCTAAACCAGAAAAAGGCCGAAACTCTGCAACCCACGGAGAGCCTCCGCTTGCTCATGGCGAAAGGCGAGGGCCCGTCGGACCTCCTTGGCCTGGGTTGTGTCTCTCGAGGGTTTAGGGTTTAGGGATTAGGGTTTAGGGTTTAGGGATTTAAGGTCTAGGGTTTAGGGTTTAGGGATTTAGGGTTTAGGGTTTAAGGATTTAGGGATTTTGGGTTTCAGGGATTTAGGGCTTAGGGTTTAGGGTTTAGGGTTCCGTCTTTGTGGGAGTTTGGTTTCAGCTCTTTCTTTCACGACTTATTGGGGTTGAGGGTCGTAGGCAGGCTGGGGCACAGCGTGTAGAGGTGAGTATTCTCAAACTGCTTTTCCCCACAGTGAAAGAGCTGCTCATCGCCGCCTTTGCTGCGAGTGAAAGTACTACTTGTGCCCATGGCCTACGCGTCTTGTTGTGTTGTTCTTTGCTACTCTGCTTCGCCTCCTGCATAGCAGCACCGGTCGCGCGCACTCACACACACACACACAAAAAGAAGAAAACAAACTATCATGGCTCGGCCATCCTTCGTCTTTCGGGCCTATGGCTTTGGGCTTGAGATGGTTCGCCCGAGAGGGTCTGGACCAAACCCGATAACCCCTAATCAGAAATTCGGAATCCTGACCTAAACCATAAGCAAAAGACCCAACAGGAACCTCACACAGTATTCTGTAGCCCTGATCGCGACCCTTGGCTTAAACCCTTCATTCATCCAGCAGCATTGAAGACAGGCATGCAGCTTCAAACTTTGAGACCGACTTACTCGTTGGGAGGGTGCAGGAAAAACTCATTAATCCCTGAACCTCCACCCCCGAACACATAACCCAACCCCCCACTGTGCGATTCGGCATCTAAGTCCGAAGGTTTCTGGCATGTAAGACAGCCTCTCTCAGGTCACTGACGCCCCAGCGCCTCAACCCTTACGGTTAAAGGTTTAGGGTTTAGGTTTAGGGTTTAGGGTTTAGGGTTTGCAAGCTGCATCCAGCCTCCGATTTTCCTCGCTCTTCCCTAAGTACTGCAGCCCTCTACCTTACACCACAGCTGTTGTTGCAAAGCGTAACATCTGTGTCTAAACCCTAAACCCTAAACCCCGCACCCTAAACCCTGAGTTGCCCCTGAGAAATCTCGGTTTCCGCACGCGCTCCCGAAGCTCTTCTGCCGTGCGCCGTGGGGCGGAGCTCCTGAACACTAGGTTTAGGGTTTAGGGTTTCAGGGTTTGAGGTTAAGGGTTTAGGTGAATGCAAGAACTTTCAGGAAAGGGATCAGAAATAAGTACACCAGGGCGTTGGGACAGAATTTTGAGATCAGCGCCTGTGTGGTGTGCCTTTTTCCTCAAAGAAGCAAGCTGCTGCGTCAGCGTGTGGCAAGCCTAGCAGTGACACGTCGCGCGAGAACAGGAGCAATACTTACCTAGACTCCTGCAATCGGCAGTGGATTTGCAGTTCCATACGCTTTGGGGTACTGCACCCCATTCCATCTTAGCCGTGGCCATTCATATGCAAGTATGTATGCATGTATGTATGTAGGTATGCATGTATGTACCATGAACTGCAGCCTCTTACATTATCTAGTTTTCCCAAGGAGACCTGTTCCATGGGCTGTGTCACCGGCGAGAGGACATGAGATGTTCCAGGGGTGCTGCATCTGGCACTCCAAACTCTTACCTTCTCTGCTTGGCTCATGCAATACGATTTAGGATTTAGGGTTTAGAGTTTAGGATTTAGGGTTTAGGCTTTTTAGGGCGTAGGGTTCTGGGTTGTCGAAGCTCTCCACCAGGATGCACCTCTCTCTCAGCAGGGCGCTCCTTGCAGCTGGCACCATTGCACCGCCAACGACTTAGCAGGCAGCTCTTGAAAACAGCTTCAATGTTAGTAGTAGTAGTAGTAGTAGTAGTAGCAGGAGTAGTAGTAGTAGTAGTAGTAGTAGTAGTAGTACCAGTAACTGTGTACGTGTACTTTTTTTCGTCTGGCGCCGAACGTGTACTTTTACTAGTTACGCCGATACTTTTTATTCTCGGATACTTTTTCTGTGTGTCTGTTTTGTTGGGTTTATAGGTGGGGGTTTAAGGGCTATATCGTTGCACTTCAGGCTTGTGTGATGCAGTTAATTGGTGATTCCTATCTGAGTCCTGCAAGGGGTATATTATTCCGGTTGGGGTTTATAAGATTCGGATTTGGGGGGTTGAACAATTCGGTGGCTGGGGAATGAAAATTAAGAGTTTCAGGGAGTTGGGGGCGAAGCACTCCTGACCACCTGAAGCCTCTTCTCTGTGAAGCCTTGACAGGCCATTCGTGCTGAGTGTTCTCTGTGAAGCCTTGACAGGCCATTCGTGCTGAGTGGAAGCATCATAAAACATTTATGTGTCCAGTACATACCTGCATTTCGAGAACTCTACATAACCAACATAAGCCTATATAGCCTTTAAGTGATCCCCACAAATTAAGCCGAAATCCTCGAAGCCAACCAGCCAGGGTAGCTCGATAGAGTATGGGGCAATAGTGGTGTGTGTGTGTGTTCAGTCTTCACATGCAGATGTATGGGCCTGGGAGTACATAGCCATATAGTGCACATGTACACATATAAGACTTCCAAGCCTGGCCTCCTTTAATGGTGGCGCTTTTGGTGCCACGACGGAGACTTCATTAAGGTCCGCCCTCCTTGCAGTTATGCCGTGCATGAGTTGTGTGTGCAGTTGCATGGGCTGTGCATTGAATGAAACCTCCGTCCACCGGCAGCTGCTAGTGCTTTGATGTGCACACATGCGATGAGCATCGAGTTCAGCTTGGCAGATAAATGCACTTCGCAGGGCATGCACAGTCGCATAAGGCAGGTTGCTGAGGTTGCAAGGTCCTAGCTGGTGTGTAGAGGGTTCGGCAATTCAGCATGGCGAAGTTTGCCACTGTGGACTGCTTGCACATGGTATGGGGCAAGGATAAAGTGCTTCAAGGTCGCCTGGAAGATGGAGGACGGATTGTCAAGGCGGTTGAAGGAGACTCGTTTGTGAAAGCGAGTGAGGATAACTGCATTGAGAATCGTGCCCTCCTGGAATCTTACATGGTGCGACAAAGGGGTTGCCGTTCTTTGGACATTCCTGACTTGGAGTCTTTTAAGGCCCAGCTGTTGTCCTTGCACACGGTATTTGCCATGAACAGGGCTAAGGTGAGCGGCTCTAAGAGGCCGAGGGCCTTGATGGAGGCTACTTTGGAGATGGTGCAGGCGAATGCACACTTGGATGGCAAAGCTTTGAAGCGACTCCTCTCCTATGCCCGCAGACGGTTCCTTTCCCCTCACGAGCCCAAAGACCCCTGGATGCACAGTTCAATTTATGTGAGCCCGGAGGAGTGCATGGATGTGTGATTGCATGTGTTGGTTTTATAACTGATTCGAAGATCGTGTGCCTGTTGCCAAGAATCCGGACTTCGCCGACTTGTTGGAGCTTTGGGGTGAAAAGGAGCCTTGGCAGCATTTTTTTTTGGCGAATTGCATCGTGTTTGGTATTGGGACCTTTTGTGTTGCAGATTCACATTGCAAGCTTGGGCATTCGGAGGAGCTTTACGAGAAGAGTGGCAAAAAGAGCCGCTGGGAACAGGTGGAGGATGCAGATGAGAGAGCCGGGGATCAAGATGCTTTCGACGAGTATGCACGAGAGTGTTCAGAGGATGCAGAAGAAGAAGATGCAGAATTTGATCCTTTGCTGGAGGTGCCCCCACTCCCGGCACCTGTTCTCGCTGAACCCGTGCTGGACATGCCAATCCCGCCCCCAGTCCTTGAACCCGTGCTGGACATGCCTCCCACCGCCTCAGTTCTTGTTAAAGGGAAGCCTCTGGTGCATGCTAACAGCTCGTCTTCGGTTTGCTCGGATGCCACTACTATGATTTTGGGGCAGACCCCAAAGACGCCGCAGCCAAGGGGAATCGTGCCCACACAGGTGCCATCGACCCAGCTAACACCATCCCCGCCGAGTTTGCCTAGTCAGGTGCTTTACAAGGAAGTGCTTTATGTGGCCGACAGCCCCCGCAGAATGGTTAAAGCCGAGCCGAAGGAAAACAATGATGATGCTGAAGATGGATTGAAGAAACAGGCTTTGCTATCGGAGCTGGCAAGTCTTCAGGCTGCACAGCAAGCTTTGCTGTCAGCAGGGGCAAAGCTGGCAAGCGAGCCGGCTCCAACAGAGCTGGAAACCACGGAGGCCGAAGCAACAGAGCCCGAAGCAGCAGAGCCCGAAACAGCAGAGCCGCTGAACAGAGAAGCCGCCATGAGGGAGCTATCTTTGCTTGAAGCACAGCTGCCACTTGGTATATATACATACTCATCTTAAGTTGTGCATGCATGTTATGTGTATGTGTTTTCGGGTACTGTATGTCTTGCTGACTTCCATGCAAGGTTGCATCTGCAGTCGTGTGGGCCGAGTGCTGCTAAAGGCAGCTTGTCTATGAGTCTATGTTTCTTTATATGCACAGTGTAGCCAGTGTTTGTTGCGGCATGAACACGATTTTTTTGGTTTGCATCCCTCTTAGGACCAGCTGCTGCACCAGCATTGGATACGGATGAGACCCAGGTGGACAACACCACGGCTTTGGACAAGGAGGCCGACCGGTTGGCACGCCTTAACTCCGTGGGTGCTTTGGTTGAGAGTGTGCCTGATCCTCCTGCCCCCAGGCCTGAAGACATGAGTTCATGACTTTTAACTGGTGTTGTATTTTCTGTGCGAAGTGCATGAATTGTTTAACGAGTCCTATGCTATCTCAGGCTGTCACTCGTGAACAGCAATTGGATGCTCGCAAGAATCGGAAGGCAAAGCAGGAAGCAGCCAAGGCTGCTGCCAAGGCTCGTAAGGCCAGGTTTTCGCTTGCATTCTCATGTGCCTTGAACCATCATGCCTGGGAAGTTAGACCTAGTATGGTACGGATAACATAGATTGGCCAGGCTGGGCAAGCCAATGATGGCGAACTCGTTGTTGGTGCTGGTGGGGATGGGGCTGGGGAGCCAGCTTCGAAAAAGCGCCGAACAGCTGCCAAAAGCAAGGCTAAGGCGAAGTGCAGAAAGCAGGGCCCTCCTGAAGTCCCCGCAGAAGCTGGGGCTCTGGTTGAAGCCCCCGCTGAGGCTGAGGATCCGATTGAAGCTCCCGCTGAGGCTGAGGATCCGGTTGAAGCTCCCGCTGAGGCTGAGGATCGTGCTGAAGTTGCCCTTCCTGAGCCTAAGAAGGGCAGGGGAAAGGGTGGTCAGGGCAGGGGTCGTGGGAAGAAGGCGGCCAGGAAGCCGAAGTCTGGAAAAGGGAAGGGCAAAGGAACCAAGGACCAGAAAAAGGGCAAGGGGAAAAACAAGGACTCTGAGGAAGCCCCCGCTCCGGAGAGGAGGGTTTCTTCGAAGAGAGCTCCGAAAAGCAAGGCTGCCAAGCCGAAGTCCGCCCTCGACTTGGAGGAGGCCATCAGGTCTTATCTTGAGCATATGTGCATCGCCAGATTGTGTGTCGTGGGAATCATGCACAGCTTGCCGTTGCTATTAGTCCACGTTTGGGGATATTGTATTGTTAGATTCGTTTCCTTGCAGGAGAAAGCCGATCTGAGGAAGATCGTGGTTTCTACGAATGGGACCCTGCAGCATTATGTTGTCATGGTCTACTGGACTCGTCCCGGTGTGGGTATCAAGCAGCTGTCAGATGGCAAGCAGGCTCGTAATAGTGATTCTTAAATTATACATGTTTCTAAAAAAATATATATCGGCCTGTCATTCCCTATTATATTCTGTGCATGCAGGTTCAGTATTTGGGCGGCAAAGGCATCGGCATTTCAATCCTTTTGAATGCTGCCATCGACTGTGTGCCTTGCTCGAGATTGGGTTTCTGTTTCAGTCGTCCTTCTGTGCTACCTGCATGCAGAGTTTGTGTGGCTGTGCATAAAACATGTCATTCTTCCTTGAGGCCCGGCTCATGGATGCTGACCCGACGGACATCAAGGGCCACAACCAGTATTGCTACAAGCGAAAGCAAGAGCTCAAGCAGTGTGTTTCCTGAGTAGTATGTGCACAAAAAAAAGAAAGCAGCTGAAGCAGCTTTTTTCTCAGGGGAGAGTGTTTCCTGGCACGCCTGCCATGGGTGAGCGATGGACACACGATGTGACAGCCTGTTGGGATGCATGTGCCTAATCGGTGTCGGATTTTGTTGGTTCTCGTTCCCCTAAATCCTGTCAATCGTTTTGAAGCCCTAGAAACCCCTAAACCGTCCATCCCAAATTACCACATATAGTTCCAACCGTATATTCATTCGGACCATCCATTTATCCGAGCACCATGCACATGATTGGGAAGCAGGTGTGAAACACGTCTACGTTTCCATGCCTCGCTGGCTTAGAGCAGAGCCAAGGGGATTTAGATCGATCGACATGTGTGCTGCCACAAAAAAACATATGTCTTTGCCTGCTGGAGATGACACCGATCATGCAGAGAAGTTCTTCGCTGCTATGCATATGTGTCTGTGTGCACGACCAGAGCAAACGGTTTCCCTCCACGCAGGCTGTGGGACGATCGACGCCGGTGCCGAAGTCGCTGCAAGGGCGAGTTTCCGAGGCTGCTTCTGGCAGGGCAGATGCCAATATTCGTGGGGCCCGCCTGTGTTTATGGCATGTATTCCGAAGGCCAGCTAGGAATTCGTCAGCTTTCATTAAACATATTAATTTGTGTTTGGGATTGGAAGCCCAGACCCTTGCTTCTCCAGAAAGACCCACACATCAACATCAACATCCACCTTAGCAGCCTGAACTCTTAAGCTGTGCACATATATATATATATACATATATATATATTTGTGGCTCTATCTATATCTATCTATATATATATATGTATATATATGTATATATATATACAGGGATCGATAGATTGAACCGGTCTAGAGTTTAGACTCTAGTAAACCCTCAACACCCAAAACCGCACAGAAGCTTTTAATCGTGTTGTTTTTGTTTCTCCCTCTCTCTCTCTCTCTCTCTCTCTCTCTCTCTCTCTCTCTCTTCTCTCTCTGGCTCTGTAGCAGTTAGATCGCAGCCACACGTCGATGTTTGGAACAAAACACATCTCCCAAGCAGTAAAGCAAATCGCCCAACGATGAGATCTGTCAATCGAACTTTGCACAACAAAGCAGGTGTCTTGATTGTCTTGTGCCCAGAGGAATCTTCCAGGCCATCTAAATAGGATAAGTGTGTATTTAGGAATAGGTTGGGTCGCTTCCGTGCAGGGGTCTGAGGATCCATAGATATAGGGTTGAACTCGGGGGTCTGGGGTTCAGGATTGCTGTGCCATTGGCACATGCAGAAAGGGGGGGGAGGGGCTTTCAGGGCTTAAGAAGGGTGTGTGGATTACTTGTAGTAGGGCATACATTGTAGGGTTTCCTTTGGGTTCCGTTTTATGTTGTATGGGCTTCTGATATTTCAAGGGTATTTGGATATTGATGCATATAGTGTTTCCTAGTTTCGTGAGTCTTGCTTTCAGTCAGGAAGGGCTCACGCCGGGTTCTTGCCTGCTCATCAGTGCATACTGCAGAAAGGCTTGTTAGGCCGTGCGACTTCATGCCAATATGCATGCTCTGGTGCACCTGATCTCTGTGCAATCTTATGAACATAGATTTAGACTCTGCAGCTCGACTAGGAGCAGTAGTGTGTTTCAACAGCAACAATATGCGAACATATCGGCTATGCCCTCTAAACCACTAAACCGTACATAGCTTAAAACGGCCATAGTTCCGATCCCATGCAATGTGGACCGGTTCCACTCTGAGCCTTTTCTTTCGCCGCCTCTTCGAGCTTCAGGCTCCCGAATTGGGCCTCTTTGCAGTCGAGCGATCTATGTACCTGACACGGTCGTGTCGTTGTCGGGTGTACTAATATACCGAGACAGTGTCGGATAGTGCTCTGACAGGTTCTGATCTTGGCACTATCTTTGCTGTACTGGCCGGAGACTCTGACTGTTGCTACAGATGCTGCTTGGCCAAGGTATGGGGTTCTATCGAAAGCAAGCTTGCCTACTTTGCACAAACCAGACATGTCTCTACCCAGTCGATCGGCTTCCCCCACGATGCCTAAGCAACCCGACATACTACAAAGCTCGAACATTTGATCTTGGGTACCAGGTGCACTACAAGCATCAGAATTTCATGGACACCTTCATACTTGCTGGCAGGTTGCACGGGGCTGAGATTCGCAGCATGACCAGGGCAGCTTCGCATAGCCTTAATTAGATGGTTTGATAGATAGACAGATAGATCGATACATATATATATATGTATGTAGATAGATATAGTTCTTGCTTAGGCTTGGGTTGGCCATAGCTGGGGTGATGTTACCCTGGGGCTCGCATTCTGTGTCTCTACAACACGAGAGTTTCTGGTGGAGGGGACATATGAATTCAAGCCTCTACTGGCGGCTAAACAGTGGCCTTTTTGGGGACTCCTTGGAAGCCTCGCCCTGAAAGGACCCCTAATCCTAGCTACATAAGACAGTGCCGAACCCGTAGAAGACCCTGTAGGATCTTAAGAATCCCATCATAAGTCCTGAGAAACCCTAAACCCCATAAACCCTAAACCCTATATAGAAACCTTGAACCCTATAAACCCTAAAACCCTATAAACCCTGAATCCCATAAACCCTAAACCCTCTACATATATATATATATAGAAACCCTGAACCCTATAAACCCTAAACCCTATATAAACCCTGAACGCTATAAACCCTGAACCCTATAAGCCCTTAACTGGCCGACACAGGAAGTATGGAGCTGGAGTGGCTGCACTGCTGGATGACCAGGCTGCAGCTTTCGCCTTGGATTACGATTTCGGGCTTAGGGTTTCTAGGGCTTGAAGGTTCTAGGCTTTCCAGGTTTTATGGATGTGTGTGCATGCACACACCCATCTGCCCATGTACACAGTGTGTACCTATGTTTATATATACATATACCATATAAAAGTATGTATGTATGTATGCATGCATGTATGTATATATATATATGTCTATGTATACAGCGATATATATATATATGTACATGTATATACGACACAGACATTTGCATTCAAATTCTACACATATGTCATTAACCCACACACACATATATATATATACATATGTACGTGCACACTCATATAGACTTGCATACATGCTTACTTACTTAGACATGCAGGCACGTGTATACCTACATACATGCATACACACATACACGCACACAAATGTATGCAGGCCTTGCTTGCATAGACAAAGTTCGCTTGTCTTACATCATTGATCTGCACAACCGACGATTCAATGAGTGCTGAACATGACCAACTCTGTGCAGTCGTGTACCATGATGCTCAGGAGTTGGGGTCCTACCCTTTCAAATCTAGAGCTGTAAATCTTTAAGGCTGGCTTCAATCTGTAGCTCCAACAAGTCGGCAAACCTAGTAAAGCCTAGAGCCCTTAAACTATGCAAGGGTTCACCGACTTTCAGCTACTTCTTTCAAGGCTCAGGGATTCCGGTTTTTAGGCTTAGGTAAGGGTCTTGATTTGGCTTTGGAGTCCACGCGGGTGTATAAGTGAGTGTAGGACTTGGACCATCCCAGTGCACCTGCAGCCCTTAACCATCAACCCTGCATGAATGTTGTAGATGTATATATATATATATACATACTCACAATCTATATATATATATATGTAGATAGATAGATAGATAGATATAGATAGCCTATACAAAAAGCCGTCTTGTGGACTGACTTAAAGGCTAAAAAACCCGAAGCCTCAGACCGGCTAGATCCGCAAGGAGTCCCACCAAAATGTTGCCTGAAACCTTTAACACAACTCACAAAACAAGGCCTCTCCCAAGCACAGATAAGAACACCGACTTAACTAAACTCCATAGGCCCTGTCAAATCCCTACAGCCCTCAACCCTGTATATAGATTAAAAGGAGTAGATCTGAAACCCTCGAAAGCTCCGCAGGCCAGCGAGACATCGAGTTCCCACGAGGCTGCACCGGGCTTAGGGGGTCGAGGTTTAAAGGATCATAATAGGGGGACGAGGTTTAAAGGATAATAATAATTATTTTTTATAGTCATTTCATAATAATATAATTCTATAACCATATAATAATATACATATGTAATATATATGTACGGTATATACATGTATATATATGCATGTATATATGTACTTATGTGTTTATGTGTCTATATATATGTATGCAAACATAGATTCTATATATATATATATTCTATCTATCTATCTATCTATCTATCTATCCATCTATATGTATCTAGCTAGCTATCTATATATGGGTTCCTATATTGTATAAGATTTGGAGTGTTTGGGTTCCGACTAGGGTTGTGATTAGTTAGATGCATGGGGGTGGTAAGGGGTTTTGTTCGGGTCTTCTCGGGTGTGGTGGGGTTTCCGCCAGGATGCTTCAATTTGCTGGTAGGTATATAATTGAGGCTCTCTCCCCGTGTCCGTCCTGTTTGAAGAGAGATCATGCTAACTAGTGTATGTACAGAAAGCCCTGCATACCCCGAATGTCATTCCGGAAGCCCAGACTTAGTCATGTCGGTTTCGAAGGGCTTTGTTCGGGGTTTTCGCCCTCCTTCTGGAACACATCGATCATGCATATAGTACAGAAACAGCAGGATCGACCGACGTACCCCCAATATTGGTTTCCGAAACTCATCCCTATATGAGTTTAATGCTTATACACACACACACACACTAACTTCTCGATCGATCTATTATATACATAACCCTATATACTTAATATATAAAACCCAAAACCCTAACCCGAAACCCTATATAAGCCCCATGAACCCTATACAAACCCTACAGAACCCACTGGTGCCGCCATGCCCCAGATCCTGGATTTCGGCTACGGCGACCTCTGGGCAGAAGGATGGCTGAGAAGGTTAGGTACTTGAGGTTTGTTCGCTGCTTCGTTGCCTATGTAGCATGCAGCTCCATATCTTTCCAGAAATCACAACATTCATCGATTGAGCATCTTCAGGCATCACTACAGCAGTGCATGGAGCTCCAGAGCTGGTGTTGTGTTTAGTTCCTCCTCTGAGAAAAGAAACCGCTTGGCTCGGTGTGAAATGTTCGCTGGTGCTCACCCTAAACCGAGAATCCCCTAAGCCCGCAAACCCCTAACTCCCTAAGCCCGTACAATCCCCCAAGCCCCCTTACATTTCGAAACCTCTATATAATTAAATCCCTAAATCCCTAAACCCCTATATAATTCCCTGAAACCGTAAACCCCCCTAAAGATGGAACGGGATTACTGTAGACCGAACATAACCACACATTGTCTACATCCCCTGTTTGTGTCCGTCGCCACTATGGAAAAGGTGCTCCTGAGAAGTTCGAGCCCCCCCTCCCCCCGAGATAAAGTTGGTTCCCTCTTCGTCCTCCTAAGCAATCTACAGAGACTGATCTGTGTATACTTGGCATATGCAAGTAGGAAAGCAGTGTATCGATCGGGCACCGATCCAAGTACGCCTCTAAGTGTTTAATTATATATACTTCTATATATATATATATATATATACATACATCTTCCCCGACTTGTATCCCCGAAATCCCACAGATCCCGGATCCTCGCAAAGCCTAGCTTGTGGGCTTGATGACCAGGATTCTAGGGGCCTTATAAGACTCTATGTATATAGGGCTTCTAGGGCCATATGTAGGCTGTCTAAACATATATATAGGGTTTTTGATGGTCTCTATGTAGGGTTTCTAGGGCTATATTTTTCTAGGGTTTCGAATTCAAACCAGCCTATTAGGTAGGGTTTTTGCTGGTCGAGGCACTCCGCCAGGCCCCAAGCATGCCCCGCACAGTATATATAGTGCCTGAGGTTGCTTGGGTTTCGATTGGGTTTCGGGTTCGGGGTTTCGGGGCCCGTGGTCTGGGATCTTGAGGCTCTGGGCTCTCCGGCTCTCGGGTACAGGCCTCGCAAAACCGCCAGAGAGTGCCATTATGATCTGCATCTTGCACATTCCAAAGGTCCTTTAGATGGTTTTAAAGCCCTATAATGCTTCAATGGATCATAGTCATTCAATAACCAAACGCATACTTTTTTTAAAGCCCAGCCTATACGTACTGGACCCGAATGTCGCCAAATTTGGTGAAAATACGGCCCCATTACGACCCGTACCCGTACCAAACCCGTACTTTGTCGACAAAATGTTGAAAAAAAACCGTACTGGCATGTCGACATTTTCCCGTACTCAGATACTTTTTCAGCGGTACGTATACTTTTTTGTTCGCAGCCCACTTTTGCTGTGTCCAGCACCGGGAATCCTCTACAGCACCTCCCTGCAGTACTCCAAGGACACCCGATGCATAGTCCACCCGAGTCCCTCTATATAGTCCACTGATCGGAACTGCAGGACATGGCGAACCAGCAGCCCGGCGAAGTTGTGGAGGCAAAGCCTCTGCACAACCCCAAGCCTGCATCATGTTCAAGCCAAGCAACCACAGGAGATCAAGAAGTGGCTCTCCGAGAGGGAGTTGGAGTCCTTGGGATACAACAAGTGCCTTGCAACCTGCATTGGGGGCTTCGAGGTTGCTTTGTTTTTTTTGACTGGGGCCATCTTAATGTGAAGGGTCTAGGGTTTTGGGACCGATACCTACCTACCTATACAATATATATATATATACACAGCTACATATATATATATATACCTATCGATGTATCTATATATCTGTCTATCTATCTACATACTTATCGACCTATAGCTATCGGCACATCTATATATATATATATATGTATATATGCATATATGTATATATGCATATATGTATAAATGTATAAATGTATATATGTATATATGTATATAGATGTATATATGAATATATGTATATATGTATACATATATATATATACAAATATATATATATATATAGATATAGATATATAGATCCTCTATAAGCCATCCTACAACCCTGGGCACTGGGTTACAACAGCTCGACCAGAAGGCCAACTAGAGGGCCCAAGGCTCTTAGGTACCTACATGCAGAGTAGAAAGCAAGGTTTCTAGGTACTTACGATCATTTGGGTGGACACCTGAGAAGCTTTGGGGGGGCTGGGTTTGGGGTATGTAGGGGTCCACGTACATAAGGGTCCATGGACCCCTGTTTGTGTATATTCATTCAGTGAATCTCTGCAGACCGAGCTATCAGTAAGTTTCAATCTACTCATCCCTTATATTTTTGTCGTCTAGGCCGAAACCCAGCACCCCAGGTTCTTCTTCAAACCGCAGAAGCCTATATTAGCTCCGAAAACCCTTAGACTATATAGTATAAAAAAAGAAGCCAAACCCGGACGCTGAAATCCAGGAACCAAATCCGCGATATCTTCGAGAATGCACCGATGAAGCTGCACCCACAGCCGCTCGTCCTGAGTGTTTCTGTGCTTTGTTGGCTGGTCCAGCTTCAGTGAGCTTATCCGAGGAATCCGGATGTGGTACTGTGCCTTGTGAGTACGGGCAAGTTTGTGGTTCAGCATAGTGTCTTGCGAGAGCAGCACATGGCACCGTATAGCCTCGCAGGCCTTCATTTATGCTGCATCCATGCAGATTTTGTCGGGCCAAAAAAAACATTTGCAGCGAGTGTGCAGTTCGACCAGCAGCAGCCGCTCGGCAGCCGAATCAAGTATGCTTCGGGTGGGAGAGAAAAACTGTGGGCTCGAGAGTTTCGTCCTGTTCTGACTTTGGGTGCCGTGGACTCATGGCATCGAGTCCGACCGCCGAGCAGATCCAGCACCGCATTCAGGATAGTTGCAGCTTTGGTTCTGCGTTGTGTCTGCATGTGATGATAAACACTCTCTCGGGGACTGGGGGGCCCTGTTGCTAGGAGCTCCGTGGAATTATCGACGCCCGTGATGTTGCTCCTCCGCTAGCGAAGAAGCCAAGGCTGAATGCTACTGCTTCTGTCGCCGGGCTTAAAAGCTTATGGCATTCATAGGTTCATTTACACATCGGTCGGGCTTATACGCTTCAGGTTTCCGTGGCTTTGGGAATAGTGACTGTGATTGTCTAGGAACAGAGTACTCACACCAAACCGAGAATGCTACGATGCCACTTGAACTTTCACGCCAACCGTTGCTCCGAACTGCGATTTCCTGATTCCAGGGTCCTTGAAGAATATAATACCCTAAACCCTAAACCCCTATAAAACCTAAACCCCATAAACCCTAAACCCTATAAGCCCTATATAAACCCTATGAACCCTAAACCCTATAAAGCCTAAATACATTTGACTACCCCGAGTGCTCCCGCTTGGCTGTTGTCGATCCACCATAGCCGAGGTGACTCCCAAGAATCTGGAGCCCATGTTCGCAGACACCTTGGTGACTACGCCGAGCCCGAGCCCTACTTCCTCGCCGGTGGCTATGGCTACGGTTCGGGGCAGCAGCCCAGCAGGGTCAGAGGTCTCAGTCCGGTCGGGCAAATCGTTGCCGGGCAAGAGGATTAAGGAGCACAACTTTCATCCGGGCCCTGTCAAGACGGAGAGACCGGGTGCCGATGCAGCTTGCTTTGCATTGTCCGAGTTCTGCACACACTGATCATCTATGTACCTAGACAGTTTGTGAGAAGCCAAGCTAAGGATGCTGACGAGCTCATGCAATTGCAACGGGAGCAGTTGCTGCTTCAGAAGAAGCAGGCAGAGTTGCATAAGAAGTTGCAAAAGCTTCAGGCCGAGAAGCCAGCTGCCACTCCGCCTCCAAAGACCGCAGCTCCTGCCGCAGCACCAGATGCCTCAGAGAACGGATCTGAACGTGAAGACGACGATGGTGCCGGCGATGATGGTGATTGGGACTTCGGTCCTGTGGTGTGCCCCAAGACGGGGAAGGCAAATCAGCAGCATGCTACTTAGGAAACAATCTCATGCATGGCTTCTGTGCGAATCAACTAAGGTCTTGACTGTTGAGGCTATGAAGCAAAGGCTGAGGAGGATGTGTGCCAGACGAAAGTCGGGGCTAGTCCCCGGTGGAGAGGCGGCCTACGCAGCTTACAAAGACCTGTCTCGACGAAAAGAGCTTGGGCGCCTAACGGTGGAATCGGGCTTCAACGAGGCTAGGTATCCTGTGCTGTGCATGCATGTGATTCGCACAATATGCATACTGGCTTTGTGTTCTCCGCCCTTGCCAGAAGAAGTTCGCTATTGCGACACAGACGATCGTGACGAAGGAAAAGGAAAAGTCCTTGAAAATCGAGGCCGGATGGTACACGGAGCAGGAGATGAAGGACAAGCTGGGCTACGATCAGTTGCTTGGAGGGTCTAGCCATGCATGTTTCAACGGGCGAGCATCCTTTTATTCATGCATTGTTAAGAAGCAAGGTTCTCCAGCTAAGGAAGACAATCAAAAAGATTGTGGACTACACTTGCAAGAACCCCACAGTGCTGCAGCGGCCACTTTGATTAATATTCAGGAAAGCCCTTGAAGCTTGCATTCGTCCTGGATGATCAAAGTCTTGACTGAGCTCATGTCCAAATGCACGCACAATTTCAGGAAATGGAAGTATGATGAATCCATCGTGCAACATTGGGTGGAAACCCAGTGGTCGGGACAGATCGTCAAGAAAGACAACGAGAAAAACATTCACGAAGAAGCTGCTAAAGAAGCCTCCGAAATGGCCCAGGCTGACTTATCTTTCGAGGCGGGCAACGACGCCCTGGGCCGGAGCTCCGGTTCCGCCGATGCCAATGCCGCCTGGCCAACAACCCATAAAACAGACAAAAGACCCAAATCCTGTAAACCCGATATAGGGATACACCCTTAAGGCCCTGGTCACACAATTCCGATGCTGTAAACCGAGAACCTAGGGGCTTCCAGGGTTTACAAAGTGCATAGTTATCGGCCTCATGTATATAGGTCTTATATATATATATATACAAATATAAACTCTACATATATATATATATGTATATGTGAATAAACTTATATGTACATATACTTCTTTATAAATATATATATATACATATATATACATATACATATATTAATATAGGGGCTTATGTAGGGTTTAGGGGTTTAGGGTTAGATTGTATCTAGGCATATATGGACTTTAAAATCTTAAAGCTCCTGAAATCCCCAACTCGTTAAGCCTTCAACACCGTCTTTGCCCAGCATCCTGAAAGTGTCCATGCATACGAATCCCGAACACCTATCCTACACATGGTTCTGAATCACGAAAACCTTCAGGAACCTCGGGCTACCCTGGAACGGGCATGGTCGGAGATGCTGCAAAAGGTTCACAAGCTTCGGGAAAGTGCTCTTGTGCTGCAAGGGGTTGAGACTATGACTGAAGTCATGAAGAGGCAGGGTTCCTTGTCATCACATACAAACCAAGTAGTAGGGAATCCCAGTACAATTGAGTCTCTAGAAGCTTCTTATTTGCAGGCACGCCGCTGGATTGATGAAGCATGCCGATTCCATGGAGCAGCACTACGACAAGATGTCTATATTGAAGGCTACCGCCTCCATCCATGTTTCCGAGAAGCCCTCCGGTCGCATTCTACAATTCGAGATCAGTCATCGGAAGTTTCGGTGTGGGAGTTATCTACTCATATAAGGCTGAAGGACGAGATCAGCATGGCTGTGGACACCGCTTCCATTCTGAATCTTGGCTACAACTATAATCGTGGTTCTGTCGCACTCAGCATGGCATGACCCTCGTGCCTCAGCCTTTGCCATCCGAGGGCATGCCAATCTGCGAGCCTTGAGAGCAAGATTCAGCCGTCGCTTCTTGAAGCGAAGAAGATGACCCAGAAAGCCTCAACCACCAATGCCGAAAAGCCCTCAAACGGCAGCGGTGCACCCCCGAAGCCGAAATCGGAGCCCAAAAAGAAGACGGGACGAGCCAAGGCCAAGGCCAAAGCCTCGGCTTAGAGTCCTAGAGAGGATCGGTGTAGGCTACGGAGCACCTTGCTGCATAGTATAACAATCGAATGCTACTGCCTTCTGACTACAGAGCTCAATCTCTCGATTCCATAGACTAGAACCCCTAAACCCCTATAAACTCTATCTACATGAAGCCCGTGTCTATGCAGACTGTGTGTGCTGGTAAGAGAAGGCCCTAACCCTGATGTGCAAGGTGGTTCAGCCTAGGCACCGACTTTCGATGGTCGAATCGCCGGTACGATTCAAGTTTCTGTACATCGCCGGAATCCGATAGAGTTTGGAGGACGGCTTGCGACGAAGGCTAGGGGACACATTGTTCCACGTTCAAGATTACTTTGCTTTAGTCTCGTGCTATATACCGTGTAACCCTATATAGTCCTACGTAACTACCTAGAAACCCCTCCAATCGCCAGAAGCCCCAGAACTTTGTTATGTAGATCTTGCTGTGACATTCAATTTCGGCTGTTGCTGCTACCACAGGACTCTAGCCCTTGGTTCATGTGCAAGGTCCCCCTGCCTCTCGAGTTTTGGTCTTCGGGTCGATTGTATGATTCCATGGGCTTAGAGTGCATCGCCGAAGATAGATGCACAGTGCACATAGGATCGACAGCTTGCTTCGAAAGCTTGTGTTTCAAAGGTCAGCAGGACCTCGGGGAGATACGAGAGCATCGGCACAGCAGCGAGAAATCATTCGTTCTTTCAGTCCCCTTTTAAACAATTATAAAGCTGTCAGGGTAAGCTCTGAAACCAATCCTCTATGATGAAGTATAAGGAAAGTACTGATATTTTCTACACATGTACCACCCATGAAAAATCTGTAAGTCTATAGAAGACCCGAAGCTGGAAGTCCTGCTGGAAGGCATGCTCCCCACGCGAAACGACCCGAAGCAAATCGCCTAGACCCTGAAGTGCCTATATAAACCTTCTTATGCTACGTATCATCTAGATGGGTTCCAACCTCAGGCAATCCGTACATAAGACATTGTCATCTCGATACCCACAAACTCTCTCTTGTCTGCTGACTTATCTTAACTTTACAGACTCTATTGCTGCTGACTAGGTTCATATATCTAGTCCTATATAGAATGAGAACCCTATCAATGCCATAAGCCCCCATGTAGTGCTGCAAACCATATATATGTACAGGGCTATATACTCTATCGACAATAATTGCCAGGTCGTGCAGGCAAAATGGGCAGAGAAGCCGCAAAGCAGCTGGTGCGAGGAGCCACAACCCCAGATGCCACAGCATCGACTCCTCACGCCATCCTGTCGGCAAGATTTGACATCCCTTGCCGCAGACACTTACTTGGGCTTTGGGGCTTCGGTGACTTCAGTTTTCAAACATGCACGAGCATTCGGCATAGCACGCAGTTCAGTGGACCTCCACATTACCTAACCCTATAAACCCTATATACCTACAAACCCTAAACCCTATAAACCCCAAACCCTATAAACCCTATAGTGGAAGCTAGAGCCTGCTATGGACGAATGGCTGGATGAGCTGCTGGTCTTCCAACACTACAAGAATCTTGGCCTGTCAATTCACCTTGCATCATAACATGATCGAGAATTTTCATGCTTACACATGGAGCAACTGATACCGGAACCTTTGCACCTCAGAGGCCTTTGAGATCTTTGAATCACAATTTGGATTGCAAGGGGAGCACATCAAGATCCTTGGCTGCATTTTGAGCGATACAACTTTGAATGATGAAAAAGCTTCGAGCCCGATCTACGCGAGATCTTGAGGTCCTTATGCTGCACCGAAAGTGCACTGGAAGCATCACAAGTACTTCACTGCTGAGATCCTTGCATTGCCCCGGCTACATACCTTATGGCATCGAATACTGTCACAAAATGATATCCTGAAGATTGCCCTCCCGGACACCTCGATGCCCAAGTCGCCTGGTGCGATTTTTCGCTCCGCAGAAGAGATGATGGAGGTCGTACCTTGTTTCATCTCAGAGTTTATGGAAGGGTTTACTTGTGCATGTCTCTATTCTGTTCGAATAAAGACCTTGGGCATCTCAGGTTCTCACTGGTGTTTCGGTGACCTACAAGATCGGTTTCACTCATGATCCGTGTGAAAGAGTGCAGGCTTACCTGCAGGACGGATACAGCCGAATGCACTTGATTTCCGTGTTGTTTTCGAGCCTCATGTCCAAATGCACTGAAGCCCACTTAATTAGGTTGTACAGAGGCCGACAAGGCTGCATGAATGAAGCCTTGGGCGGCGAGGGTCCGGATCATTTTGATGGCCCCTATTTTGTTTATGTGGCTTTGCAGGCCGCCAAGTAGTTCCTTCGACCCCGGGCGAGGTTGCACATACGACTGTATGGGGAAAGACTGCAAACCTGCACTTCCTGCAAGCATCGCTTTGCATGAGTATGTTGCAATGACTTGATTGGGCTTACTTAATTGTGCTTAGGCCACTTCGACGACGATCTCTGGCTTCGCTCGGGCAACTAGTGCCCGATGCCGTGCAAAGGATGCTGTTCTGGATGGCTTAGCACGTGGAGACCAGAGCCGCTTGGAGGACAAAAGCCACGAGTTGCAGCTAAGTTGCAATCAGCCCAACAATCAAGAGGAGCATCGCACCATCGGACCCATCAGGAATTTCAACACTGATCCCTACTCACTGCCTGAGGTTCAAGGAGTTCGGCTTTGCACTGGACGTGCCGATCTCGAATGTAGATGTTGGCTACGAGAAAGCCCTCATGCCTATGATTAGACCTACTGACTTCTATCAGCATCTTGCGGATCTGGGCAAGCTGAGCATACTGTATGCAGAGCAGGACACAGCTGTTCTCACCAAGTGCCCTCGGCTTGTTTATTCTAGATCACTACAACCCAGCCATAAAATTCCTATATATATATATATACTTACACATCTTTTCTATGCACCCTTTCAATATAAACTTGTAGGCTCGATCGCTAGGGGAATGAGTAGTTGGATCTGAGAGAGAAATAAAAAGAGAGCGAGAGAGAGAGCTTATAGTTGTCTAGGGTTCTCGGGGTATAGTATTGAAGGGAATAATATACAGGCCGCTGGAACTATCTAACTGTTCAACAGATAGGAATATATGGATCTCGAATGAAAGTATATCTTTGTATAGCTTAATGAGCCCAGAAAGAGTAGACCGCATCTATAGCTCGATCGTGTGGAAATGCACCCAATGCTCCCTGGACGTGGAGGTGCATGTCCCCACCTGCTATCGTGTGTTTGAGTATATATATATATATAGATAGATAAATAAATAGCTAGCCTCTTATTTGATATCGGATTATTTAGGATCCTTGGGAACGTGGGGTAGAATCAGTGCCCACAAGATCTTCGAATCAAGTCAGCTAGGCCCAGGGTTTCCATATTTGTTATATACATTTGTATATGTACCGCGTAGATCCTACAACCCTTGTATACTTATGTAAGTATATATAGTGCACATATTGCTATAGAGGATTAAATTGGGTTTAGGGTTTTTTTTTCGCTCACATCCCAGGTTCTGGGCCAGATTTGCAATCGTGGAGCCTTGGAATACAATCAACGATTCTTTTGAGGCTGGACTGCTTGTGCCAGAGAGGACTATCCCCTTGCTACTGCACGGGGATGAGGCTCGGAGCAAGAAGCACCTTCCGATGATGGTAGTCAACACGCATGGAATTATCGGATATGGATGCAGAGCTTTCGAAAACTGGTTTCAGGAAGCTCCACTCATGCGAGATCAGGCTGGCGGGGTGAACTTGAAAGGTTCAGTGCTGGCGACCCGTTATCTGCACTTCGTCATGCTGAAGAAGAGCTATGGTCCGGACAGCATCTTCCTCGACCGGATGTTTGATGAGCTGGCGAAAGATCTTGCCAGACTTCATACGGAGGGCATCTTGGTGAATGGCGAGCGGTGGCATCTGCCCGTCATAGCTGCCACTGGGGATTGGCAATTCTTTGCTAAGGTGGGCCATTTGACCCGTTGCTACACCCACGTTGCCAAACGGAGCGGCCAGAGGTCTCTCAACGGCATCTGTCATCTATGTATGGCTGGAACTGCAAATGTTGGATGGGACAACTTTGTGGATGATGCACCATGGAAGCCGACTATGGGCACGGAGGATCCATGGCTGGAAGCACCAATGCTCATCCGGCGACTGCACAATGATGCATCCAACCCAGCATCATTCTTTAGGCCGGATGTGTGGCATTCTTTACATCTTGGCTCTGGGAAAGCCTTGGTCTCCAGTGCCATAGCAGAATTTCTCCGTGTCATCCCCGGCCATTTGGACCAGATTAACAAGGCTTTTCATTCCAACACCCGAGACTCGCCCTACATAACATGCATGAATTCGACCCAAGCAACAGCTAGCTTCTTTTTAATTTGCTTAAAGCCCATGTAGCCTTTTCCACTCCTAGGGGTGCCGCTGCCTTATTAACATTTTTCGTTGTCATGGGTGTCGAAAGTTTTTCGCTCCGGGTTCTCTATATATATATATATTTTTTTAATAAAGTGGAGCCATCTAATAGGCCGATCGACATATACAGAGGCATCTTGTCTACATAGATCGGTATCCGTCAATCCCAAGGCAACAACATGCCCGAACGCTTCCGTTATATCGACAGCAGGGCACAGAGCTGGCTGCAAGGTCGCAACGACAAACTGTACTGTCGACACATTTCCGATGTGACCATGGGCATCGACAGTTTGCAGAAAGTGCCGCTTGGAGGATGGCAGAAGGCAAGTGATACAACGCTGTTGCTGGAATTCTTGGAACACTTCTGCTCGACCCACTCCCAGTGGGCCGAGCAGGATGCTGTTCTTCGCTGGATTTGGGTGGCCGCCAGCAATATTAACTTGTGCATCCGTACCCTCTATCAAGGGGGCCTTTGGCTGGACCAGCATCACGGCCATACGGCTGCGACTTGCGGCCTCAACTTCTTGAAGGCCTACGGTCATCTGGTTTCTCTGACTCTGGCGGCCAACCGAGACAGGTTCCCCGTGACGCCCAAGCTGCATATGCTACATCATCTCTTCCTGGCTCTCAAGACGGATAGCAGCCGCCACTCATGGGCATTAAACATGATGGCAACATCCGTCCAGCAGGACGAGACTTTTGTTGGCATCCTTGGGCGGCATTCGCGACGGGTTGGACCGGTGCACTGTGCCCTGCGAACATTGCAGCGGTATCTGTGCCACGCCGCCGAGCAGCTCACTCCGGAGTTTCGGCAGGTGTGAAAATGATTCCCACGTTCAGGGCCAGTTCAGGGCCAGTTCAGGGATTTCCCTCAACCCTAAACCCTCAACCCTATAAACCCTATAAAGTTTAGAATCGGGTTTAGGGTCTCCCCTAGAATCGGGTTTAGGGTCTCCCCTACAGCCTTGCTTCTGCAAGGGTCTCCCAGCCATGCTCCTGCAATCGAACATTCCAGATCGTGTGCAATCCCCGAGACCCCAACCTAAGCTTATATCGGACATATTTTATAGGGTTTTCGGCCTTCATGCAAAGATCTCCCGCAGATACTTTTTTTCCGTACTCAAAAAAAGTAGCGGGGAACCCCACAGATAGAAAAAAGTAGCGGGACACGTCTACTGGTAGTAGTAGTAGTAGTAGTAGTAGTAGTAGTTTCAAGGGTCAAGGGTTCGGCCATGGAGGTTTGATTTTGAGGTCATCATCTCAACACTCGTGCATTGCGCTTCGTGGCTTAGCGCACCGAATAGGAGTTCGAACAAGACTCCAATGTCAGCAATGCAATCAGGTGTACGAGGACTTTGACGACGACGACAAACATGCGGAGGAGGAGGACGATGACCACCACCACCACCACCACTACCACCACTACCACCACCACCATCACCGCTAAGGAGCTGCACATGTTGCTCCTGTCACTGCCAGGCCTACTATTCCTGCCTCTCCTCCTACTCCTGCGACTACTCTCACTAAGTCCTACTTATGCTATAGTCCCACTGCTACTGCCATTCACTGCCACTGCTACTGCCACCGCGATTGCGACTGCTGTTGCTACCATCCCTCATGTCCCTCATTGTCAGGACTGTCTTTGATTCTGCACCATTTGCCGCCTACAGCCATTTTCGTGTCTGTTTCCCAGAGGCCCAAAGAGGACTCCGGGCTACAAAATCTCGGCTGCGCCTTTGGATTCCGAGATTCTTCACGTGTTGGCCCGGGGGATGTCCAGGGCTTGACACAAAGAAAGCCCGACACCCTAAACTCTCTAAACCTTAGCTGCCCTAGCTTTAGGCTTCGGGGGGTGGAGGTCTAAATCTCTGTGAACCCCAAACTCTCAGAGACTCCTCAACCCTAAACCCTGAACCCTAAACCCTAAACCCCAAGACTCAAAGACTCAGAGACCCTCCCCAAAGGGCGCAAGACCGGCTGAGGCCCGATCGCTTTTCCTCCTCCGGTTCTGGGACCTCCTCTACTCCTCTGCGACAAACAAAGCCTAAACCCCAACCCCACCCCCCCTAAACCCTGAACCCTGAACCCTAAACCCTAGACCTCAAGCTCCGAACCCTAAAGAATCGAGGGTGTAAGGCGTAGGACGCGGGCTTCACTCGGTGTTTCATTTTTGGGGGGGCCAAGCCCGGCGAATATGTTGATGAAGTTGGTAGCTTTCGCGGAGGAAGCACATTGATTTCAGGTTTCGGGTTAAGGGACCCGGGTACAGACCCGGTTTAGGGTTTGGGTTTAGGGTTTTGGGGTTTAGGGTTTCGGGGTGTAGGGGTTTAGGGTTTAGGGTTTAGGGGTTTAGGGTTTGGGGTACTGTTCTTGCAAGGACTGCGAAAGAGGATAACATGTCGATCTCTAGACCACGTATACTCTCGGGTGTTCACTCTTAGGGTTTAGGGTCTAGGGTTTCGGGGCAGATTCCGCTGTTTTTGGGACTGACTGCCGTGTTCTCCCAGTGCTTCAAGAGCTTGTGGCTAATTATGCCTTGCAAGAATTGGTTAAAGCGGGTGGTTGAAGGTGCACTAGAGGGGCCTTAATAATTACCTCTACTATTTTGGGGGGCTCCTTATTATAATTAGAGTAAAATATACCCCCAAATCCTATTCTAATCATTCAGGCCCCTGCATTAGCTTTCTAGGCTTGGGTGCAGGCCATCCTCTACCACCGGTCCTGGAGTGGAAACCTAAGCCCCAACCCTAAACCCTAAACCCTAAACTGTTCAAACACTACATCATCAAGAACTCAAGAACCTCACAAAGCCTTCACGGTGGACAGATGCACGGGTAAAAGCCCCTCGTCACCCGAGCACCAGAAATGCACAAGCAACCGTGTCGATGAGAAGAACAGTACTGCTGGCACCAAGGCAAGAAGAACACAAAACGCAAATACAGTTGTGCACAATACATACACAAACAGAAGAATGACCACCTACAGCCTAGACATGTGAACCATGAACCCTAAACCCTAAACCCAACCACAGCCTAGACATGTGAACCATGATGATAAGAATCCCAGAGAGCCAATGGGCCCTTAATACTATGATTTAAGGTATATTCCTTAAAGGGGTATTGAGCTCTCTGGTAACCTAAACCCTAAACCCTAAGCCCTAAAACGTCTGATAAGAATCGGGTCCTGATGTGGCTGCAGCAAGGATCGCCTCCTGCTGTTCTTTGGCAGCCTGCCCAAGTTGGAAAACAGCAGGTCAGGAGGCGCTGCTAGCCTAGGTGACACTATTGGGGTTTGGGTTTAGGGTTTAGGGTTTAAGTTTAAGGTTTAGAGTTTAGGGTTTAGGGTTTGGCAGAGGGCTCCAGGTTCAGGACTTTCGAATTTTGGCCCATGCGCAAGCACTGCATCTGGCCCCTAAATCCTAAATCCCAAACCCAAAACCCGAAACCCTAAACCCCTAAACCCTAAACCCGAAAGAAACCCCTAAACCCTGAACCCCCCAAAGCCTAAACCCCAAGCTCAGGGAGAAACCTTCTTCTCCATGTCCTTCAGCGCTTCCCATTCTCGGATCAAGCTCGAGTCTACCTCGGGATCCCCAGGCTCTGCACAGTTGCCTTCGGCTTTAGGGTTTAGGGGTTTAGGGTGTAGGGTTTAGGGTTCAGGGTTTAGGGTTCAGGGTTTAGGGTTTAGGGGCTTCTCCAGGGTTACAGGGTCCTAAATGATTAGAATAGGGTTTTGGGGCCCATGAAACTATAATTATAATCAGGACCCCCCCCCAAAAAAAAAA